ATTCTCGCGAAAGTCGAGTTTGGCGCGACGCTCCTCTGCGACATCATCTCGTCGGAGCTCGATCTCATCCCTACATTCGCACCATTCTAACACCTCTTCCAATGGCTCATCCTCCGCCGACCACGTTGCGCAACATCTGCGGCGAACCTCGATTTTGGAAAACCGAAAGGCGAGGCTTGCAGACCGTGCGTTGCATGCGGAAAAGGTGAGGCTTCGTGCTGCACTTGCCGCTGCCAACAAAAACCTCCAACGAGAGGAGCGAGCGCTTGCTGCTCAGCAGTCACGCGAGCGGTTACTTGCGCAGATTACCGCCAAGTGCGAAGAGGAGGTTCGCCGTGCGAAGAAGAAGGCTGAAGACAACCGAGAAAGATTAGCTGCGGAGCACGCTCGCCTCCGGCTGGAAATGGCGGAAAAGTTCGCAGAGGCAGAGAAAAGGCGGTTGATTTACCAGCAAACTCAACGGCGTCATCGCACCAGTAGCCTCCCAGCGACGGAGGAGAAAAAGATGGCTCAGGTGGTCACCAAGTCTTTAACTCGGGACGCAGCCGCAAGGACAATTCAACGTGTCTGGCGGGCACATCACGCGAAGCTGGTCATGCAGGAGTTTCGAAGTCTCGACCTCACGGTTAACCGCATCCGTACCATGAACTTTGAAGATGTGGGGGCCATGCTCTCAGACGAAAACGTGTTATCTGCAACGGCACGTGTCCTTCGACTTTGCGGACTGCAAGATATGGAAAGTGGGACAGTGGGAGGAAGAGGTGCTGTTCGCACTTTTCTGAGCAGCTATCTGATCGTGACGCATCCCGCCGAAGTGCTGAGCAGTAATGGTGAACAGGAACAAGACCTGATTTCCAAAGCCGGTGAGCTTCTTGAAGAATTTGAACAGATCACCCCAATACTTTCGTCGGGATGCCACTCACCGATGGTGATATCGACCGATCTTCAAACATTGTGTGAGGCGTACAGCGTATTTTTCTCGGCATTTCATGCTTGGAAAACTCACGATTCTAGCGTCTTGATCGAGATCATGCTTGCTCAGTTCATAGAATTAGAGTTGATATGGCAGACTGTCAAAGATGACCGCGCCGGTGGTGTTGCCGATGACTATTGGCAAGGCATCAGGCAGAATCAAATTCTACTCCTTGCCAGGCTGAAACGTCTGGCTGGCTCCGAAAAGGCAATGCAGATGGTGCGGAACTCGCTCAAGAAAGCCAAGCGGGAGAGGAAGCGTACAACTTCCAAGCAGGCCATCCCGCGATCTGCCGAAGTAGCTCCCTCATCGGCGGAGGCATTGACCGAGAGCGTGGCCTCACCACTCAGCGAGAGCTTCAACAACGTGGAAAGTCCAATCTTTCGCGAGCTGGATAAGCAAAGGATTTCTCCGCATGAGCGGTTTGCTCAAGTGCTTACTGCTCTCCCTGATAACCGCGCCCTGGTACACGAGCTTCTCATCAACAAGGAGTACAAAGTCGAGGAGACACAGTATACGGCACCGCGCAAGCAGATAATGAAGCATATGTGCGATATGATGCGCAAAGATGTAGATGCTGGAATGGGTGCAAACTGGATGGTGGCCATGGCCACAGTGATCCAAGATCGACTGCTGCGCTTGCTGCGACCCGGAAACTCACTCCACGTCCTGATCAGCGAGGTACTCGACCCAAAACTTGTGGAGGGTCAATGCAAAGCTGGCACCTTTTCATATGATAGATTTTTCGATTTTATGAAGAACATTCTGCCGAAGCTTTGCGCCCCTTATCGGGATGCTGCGGTCAAGGCGTTCGCCGAGGACTCCTCGGGCGATGCTATTGACCGTCTGGCGAGGCTGATGGGCCTCATAGATCTGCTGTCTCTGGATCATACCAATTTCATGATCCAGGTCGCTGCTCCGCAGCTGATACAAGAGGCTCCCGGGTACGAGCAAAGGACTTTTCAGCGGGGTATACAAGATGGATCTATTAGCTTGGGCAAGTGCCGACGATTCTGGCGGACGAATCGCAAAATCCTCGTGGATGAGATGCAAAAGCGTGATCCTGAGAATGTCAATGGAGAGCCTCACCCGCCGGCTCCCAAGATCTATGCACAAGGTCTTGTGGACCTTGTCCTGAGCAACGCGCCTGTATCCGAGGACCTCACTCCTGAGACTCTGGACCTGGATCGTCAGCGGCTGGGGAAAATGCATGCGCGAGCGTTCAGAATCGTAGCCACCGCCTCGATTCTGCTTACAGCGAAAAACCTCCTTAAGCGGGATGTACGGTCCCAGTGGAAGGCCGAAGCGGACCGGATCTTATCTCTAGACTTCAACGATATTCAAGCCGATCGAGTGCAGTCAATCCTCGAATCGACGCATCCCATGCCTTCGAGCGCGAGTGCTCAGCTTTCAGCGACAATCCGGCGGGTTTTGGCGCCTGTGGCTATGGCGTGCGCTGCAGTTTCGCCTGCATCGATCGAAGTTCAAAGTAATCCTGTCGCGCCAAGATCCTCGTCATCTTCGGGGTCAGATATCGCATCAGGATCAGGCCAAATGGCTTCTGGGCAAACAAGCTTTACCGACCCGGTGGCCCGACTCCTCCTGTCTCGCCTTCGCGCTCATGTCGTTTCTCGTTTGAGCGCTTCAAGCGCCAGTGAGCGGGTACGAGCAACAACTACAGCAAGCCAGAGCCTGGCGGGGGCAGGCATGCCGGAGTTCGTCAACGAAGTTGGGCAACTGACTGAGGAACTGGAGAAGGTTCGAGAGGTGGACTGGCTCTGCCATGGCATGGTCTACGAACAGATATTGGAGGAAGGCGTAGGCCCAGGAACAGGAGTATGAAGGCGTTTGGTATTTTGCCTCAATGGATCTTTTCTTGGATATTTATCTTTACCTATTGGTTTGGTTTTCTCTTGCCCTTTTTTCCCCAACAATTACTAGATCCTGAGTGCAAGCATAATGCCACGAATGATTCAATGAGAAACGAAGAAATTTGTGCAGTCGTGACAGTCTGTAGTTTTTGATCCGCCCCGTCTGTTAACGCGTGAGTCTCACTTTCTTTGACATAACAAATCGATCTACACCAAGGCCATCTGACAGCAAGTTAAATAGACGTAATAACACCGAAGGGAGTTTCTCCGTTGAATTTGCTATGTCGGAGCGAGGAGCAACCCACCTCTATCAATGATCCACTATTAAAGAACCCCACCTGCTGCGCTCTGTCTCTCCGGGTCTCCGATCACAGACAACAGCGACAGCCACAGCCCCAACGCAAGAACAAGGCGTTGGGAGAACAAAGGAAGAGATATATCAGAAAGGCTTACAATATATGGCCATGGCAGCCGAATCATCCGCCCAGTTGTCTCTCCTATCGGATCTCACTCCTCCATCGCCCGAACGTACCTGGCTGACCGCACCGCACCCCACTCTCCCGATCGTTGCGACATGCAGCTCCGACAAAACGGTCCGTGTCTACTCATTAACTAATTTCCGGCTTCTTTCGACTATATCGGGCGGCCATAAGCGCAGCGTAAGGACATGCGCCTGGAAGCCGCACATCAAGGGGGAAAGCGTACTCGCCACGGGCAGCTTTGATGCGACCGTCGGCATTTGGCGACGCTGGGATAGCTACGGGCAGACGGAGCATGGAGTGGAGGATTGGGCCTTTAGCCACCATGCCGACACCCGGAACCATGCGGATGACTTGACAAATGGCAATGGGGCAGCAGGAATCGACAATGGCTCCGCCGCCGACGAGGATGACGAGGAGTGGCGGTTCGCCGTGCTGTTAGATGGGCACGACAGCGAGGTCAAGTCGGTGTCGTGGTCGCCGTCCGGGATGTTGCTGGCAACGTGCTCGCGGGACAAGTCGATCTGGATCTGGGAGGATCTGGACGACGGTGATAACAACTTTGAGACCGTGGCGGTCATGCAGGAGCACCAGGGGGATGTCAAGTGCGTCTCCTGGCATCCAGTCGAGGAGTGCCTGGCGAGTGCCAGCTACGACGATACCATTCGGCTGTGGCGGGAGGATCTCGATGATTGGGGCCAGGTGGCCTGCATCAAGGGCCACCAGGGCACGGTATGGTGCGTCGACTGGGAGGGCGCAGAGAATGTGCCGTCCGCACCAACGGACTTGGCGGATGGTGATTTGCCCACCATGCAGTGGAAGAAGGCGCATGCGCTTTCCGGTCCTCGTCTCGTCTCGTGCTCTGACGACCGTACCGTGCGGATCTGGAGACGGCAACCGAAGGAGCAGCAACAACACCAACCCCAGCCATCGCCGTTTGGTGGCTCGGGCATCCCGAGCATCATCCGTCCGACGGGGTCCGACGAGTTCTGGGACGAGGAGTGCGTTCTACCGCAGGCGCACGATCTGTCTATCTATACGGTAGCATGGAGCAAGCGGACGGGTCTGCTGGCATCTGTCGGGGCGGATGGTCGGATCGTGGTGTATGAGGAGCGCTTGGTCGTCGACTCGACGGCAGAGTCCATGGAGACGGATCCTCCTACTTCGGCGGACGGCACAGCAGCGGACTCTCCGCCTGCTCCTAGAAGTGAATGGAGAGCCATCGCCACGGTGGACGGTGCCCATGGGATCTACGAAATCAACCACGTTACTTGGACGAAGCGCGCAGATCGTGGACGGACAGAGAGTGCAGAAGACGAGGAGGTCCTGATCACCACCGCTGATGACGGCACTGTCAAGGTGTGGACTCTCACGAGGTAAATGTTTCATTACACTTAGGCTAGGTTGAGGTTCATACATGACCATTGGGAAAGGTCACATATTGATAGACCTGATGTTAAACGGAGTTGCACAAATAAGCAGACCTTGCGCGACTGTCGAATGGCATATACAATGACCAAGGTTACTTCAACACTAGATGTCCGCTTCGAGGCGGCAATGGAACTTTAATTAGATAGAAAATTATGTATGCATTGTAGTTGACTACACGCTAGAGCTAACCAACTTTATCGCAAAATTGACAATAAATATGGAACCGAAACAACCGACCAGCAACATCTATGGTTGAGCGCCTCCTGGCTTCGTGGCAGGCTGGTGATTCGGACCCTCTTCATCACTGTCATCCCCGACAGCATAATGTTCTTGCTCCAGACCTGGTGAATGAAGATTGTCGAGTTCGGACTCGTCAAAGTCGCCCGCTTCCACATCGGCGGGCCCGGAGCGTTTGTTGTGGAAGCGCTCCAGAATAGAGCCACTGCCAACGTCCCTCTGGTAGACTCCTTGATAGCCGCGGTTGCGTCGTCGGCTGCGCCAAATGAAGAAACCCCAGACCGTAACACCGATTATCACGACTATCAGGGCGGCCTCGCCAGACTTGGCGTAGGCCTTCCATTCTGTCTCTTTGATCTTCTCCTTCTCTTGCTGCTCGGCTGCTGTGCTGTTCGGGTGGCCGCCTACGGAGGTCTGCGGTAGCTTCTCTCCATCAATTCGTGAATCCGCCGGCTTCCCGCCAATATTGGCGATATCGACCTTCATGAAGCGGTCAAGCATGTCACGGCTCTGGCGAGGTAGATCGTAAGGTACCATATGGCTTGCATTGTAGAAGAGGACGTAGGTCAAGTTCCGGGCATATTGGTAGATACCGGTCGGTTCACCTTCAAACGTCCAATCGTGACGCGGAGCCCAAACACCAGGGGAGGTTTCAAAGCCAGTTCCACCGTTCCATTTCATACTGTTGATCAGCTGCTCCGTGCCGACATGGTTGCAAATGAGATCCTTGTTGCCGCTGAATAGCAGGATGGGAATGCCGGACTCGAGAAGGTCCGGTAGTAGTTGAACAGATGGCACCGAGTTCGCTGCGTTGAAGGTACTGCTCACCGCGCCAGAGCATTCCTCCCATCCGGACTTCTTCTCGGGGTTAATGTTCAGGGCTTGAACCACGTCCGGGCGCTGCAAGTAGGGCTTCACGTCCACCAAGTCTGTGGGCCAATTCATTCCGCACGACGGATACGTATCTCGGAGGCGGATGTCGTACATGTTGTGACACAGCTTATTTGTATCTTTCGTGCGCGCCAGAATCTGTTGCAAAACCTCCTCACAATCTCTGATGTTTATGGCGTTCGGTGATGCACTTATCTTCGATTCGCAGACGGATTGATAAACTTCAAGATCTTTGGCGAGACCGCTCCCTTCCGTAACAAGACCCTCCTCGTATGCGAAGGTGAGGTAAGAGGGGTACTGCTGAGCCGGAGAGATCCACCCATTACCGATCACAAGGCCGCGAAGATTCCACCGGGCACTCTGGTCATTATGGATCTTATTGTTGCGTTCCTGTATAGCTTTGGCGATGTAAGGGATATGCTGACCAGCATACGACTCGCCCGCAATGTATATCTGATGACAAGTCAGAAAGGTTGCACGGAAATCATCAGGCACGAAATATGAGGGCACCTACATCGTCACGTTCGTACTCAGGAAACAGTTGAAACCACTTCTCCAGGAAGGTGATGAACTGAGCTGACATCTCATCGAGCTCATGGAGATAACTGTTGGTGCTGACGTAGCTAAAGCCCGTCCCGACGGGTTGGTCAACGAAAAGCAAGTTTGCAAATTCATCCCATGAGCCATTATTGTACTCCAGTGTATGGTTATCCTTGAGTCTGTATGGACCGATTTCCATGAGAGCGCCGTCCATCGAACTGCATCCTGGCCCGCCGTTCAGCCAGATCACTGTTCTCTGGCGGTTGGCGATGTGACGGTTCTGGTAATGCCAGAAGAAAAGGTTGCCATTATTCTGGGCATCTACTTCGATATGCCTGATCATGCGCAGATCTTATTAGCCAGCATCTTGGTTGTATCAGATCCTCAAACACTGGAACTCACCCGGCATGCATCTTCAACGAGGGCCCTTCTGGGGCACCAGGCAATGATCGTACATAATAGTCTGCAGCAGATTTGGCTGAGACTAGGGGCGGACTGAGCAGGAGGAGTAGCGACAAGGCCCACGACGAAACGTTCGCGATGCCCGACTGCGTCCTTGACCCTCGAGATGAGGGCGTTGTCAAGAGCATCTCAAGTGACCAGGGCGAGGGACTGTAGGCTGAAGCTCTTTTGATAAAAGTGCAGAACCAGATCAAGTATTTATGCGGGAAATGGTTCTGCGAGGGATCTGAACGCGACGCTCAATATATCATGGGGAGGGCGATTCTCTTCACGGTCTCCCTATAATTAGGATGACGGCCGTTCGGAGGTCCGAACTTAAACGATGATAGAAATATTAGAGCAACCCAGACAAAAAAGCAGTATGAACAGAAGAGCAAAACAATCACACTGATTAGTGAGGGAGGACAGGATTGTTGGACCAGGTCAACTGGTCGAGGGTGTAGGACGGTCTATTGAGGCTGATTATTGTCAGGTACCTGAGAGGTAGTTCTCATTCTAAAAGTAGCTCTAATAACGGCGATGACGGCGCAAATCGATCTGGATGGCGTGGCTTGGACAGCGGTACAGTACGGTATGGTCATGTATTGTATTTGACAGTAATTTGTAATCTAGTACGGTAACCTTATTGCACCCAAGTAAGTACTCCGTACCTTAGATAGATTACTTCCATTGTAGGCAAAAGGGACTTTGGTACAGTACCTTATGGTCAGCCGAGCCGTACCTGTACGGTACAGACTCTTTGCGGGCTGAATGCCCTATTTCGGGCCATCTATAGACACTATTGATTGGGATTGATGAATGGAATACGAGACATACGAGGAATTGTTCTCTAAAGCAAGAAAGAAACACGAGACTGAATGGCTGATACATATACATCTTTCGCAGTGGTGTCAAAGATCTCTCTCACGGTACAGGAACAATGTGGGAATGCTGCACCTAGATATAGGTAGCATGGAAGAACTAGGCTGAAACAGAAGCCAATTGACCCATCCATGCATCGCAGATTAAAATAGCCATCCATAGCCATTCCTAAGAAACGCCAAATTGTAGAGACCTACATCTTAGAAAAAGCGATTGGGCAGGGGTATTATGCAGTCGATCATTCTGTTATGTACCCTTTCAACGAGCAATTATCCACTGTACCGTCCTGCTCCGTTAATTGCCACCATTCACAGATCAGAAAAGGTCATCTACAGCCTTGTCAGCGTCCTTTTTGATAAGGTCAACCATACCCTGTGTATGTCAGCGTCTCTATACATTTGGGGCTCAACACCGGGAAAGACATACAGTCGGCATAATGGGTTGACCATCGTCTCCTTTCACATAACGGAAGGGCATTTCGGTCCGCTCATGTTTGTTGACAATGATCTCGGGATAATCGACATATTCGATCTTCTCCAGTGGCACTGATCATAGTTAACATCGATGAAAGATGGGTCAAGTTGACACACGCAATCTGATACCTTTCTCTTGAACCACTATGCGGGTCACTCGCACGGCCGTGTCAGTAGTCATCTGCTTAGGACCAAGACGTCTTCCGACATAGCCTTTCTTTCTCAGCTCTGATGTACGATCTATATCCATGGTCAGTAACTCTGTCAGCGAAAGCACGTTGTTCAATCAAACGCACCTCGTGGCGGATCATCGCCTGTACTTGGCGAGGAGACCAGCAAGTCAGCACATTTCCTCGAGTCGGACCAAGTAAAATCACGGCATCAAGAATAGCCACGGGGAAACTACGAACCGAGGATGCCACCAAAGAGGAAAACATCGAAGATGTCTCCATCTTCGGGACTCAATTCGACCTGGGCCGCAGGGTCTAGCAGGCAGACCTTGGACTTGCGGTCTGCGAAGATCTCCTCGACACTACGGTGCTCAACCACCAGACCTTGTGTCGCGGCAAGGTCGTCTGGTAGCTGCAAGGAGGTCGGCACAGAACTGAGAAGAAATCTTGCTCCCACCGCATGCGACTCCCGCGCAATACAGCCGTATTCTAAGGCTGACCAGGGACCCAGCTCTGGGTCCAAATGTTCGACCACAAAGGTCAATTGTCTGGCCGACGGTACACTATTCTGATGAGACATTTTTGGGGGGGTTTCTTTTTCAGATGAAACGAATGGAGAGATGGGGGATGAACTCCGAAAGTCTTTTTCTAGGCGGAAGACAAAGCTCACTGGACAAGGTAGGATGGGTATGGATCCAGTGAACGGCGGGGTTTGGAGTCCATCTTCCAGTCCGAATGGTGACGAAATTTACACATTGGGGTGAACAGAAGGTAGTCATTTGCCTAGGCAATGAGTATGTATCAATTCAGCGATTTTTCTTCAAGCTGTAGATGTTGAACAATGAACTTTTTACAGCCAGATACCCCCCGAAGACTGAGCAAGTTAAGAGCCAACCCCTCTTATCGATAACCATGTACCGCTCTCTACAAAGAAATGAATATAATATGATGCTTAGATACATAGTTGATCTTCCTCTTGGGTTGTTGAGTAGACTCCAGTACAGTGCAGTTCTCATCTACTATCTTACTCCCTGATCCAAGGGACCAGCATGGAGGCATCATCATGGTTGATTATTATTATTGGGCAGAGATCGTATGTCCGAACTACGTACGATATAATACCACCATCATCTGCTCCATCATCTGAGCGTTTACTTGTCCTCTCGATTATTCTTAATTATATTTCTTCAGTTTCTCAGAATATAACAATAATAAGACTTAAACCTTCCTTTCCCCGCATTCGGTAGGGATCTTCCGACTTATCCTTTCGACGCCCAACGTTCACTCTTCCTGTCTGTATTGTCTTGTTCCCTCATATTTTCCGCCGCCCCGCCTTCATACGACTACTTCATACTTCGCTCCAACAGCAACTACTAGCTATCTATCTACCTTACTACTTCCTCACCCCAATAACACATTTAAACATCGAAAACTGAAATCTTCATTTTCTTGATTGATTGATTGATTGATTGATTTAACTTGCACTTCCCCACCTCCACTCAGCAATACTTGAAGATGAATCCTCATCAACAGAACAAGGTGGACACCAGCGTAAGTGTCCTCACAACATATCGTCCGCCCCTTCTCTCTATATTCTATAAAATATTGCATCCGGGAAGAGCTAACTAAATTTTTATTAGTCCTTGAGCCCCGACGAACAACGACTGCTTCGTCTCTACGGTAAAATGCCCACCAAGAAAGACCTGCTTCAGAACAAGCTCAAGGTATGGGTTACTTCATCTCCTACATTCTTTCTTCTTCAGGGTGTCCCGCTCTCTAAACGTCTTCGCTCTTCTAGGAACGGAAATACTTCGATTCGGGCGATTATGCATTGAGCAAAGCCGGTAAAGCTTCGGATGTCGGGGTCACTAATATCGGTTCTAAGCACCCTGTTCCGGAGAACATCCCACATCTGACTGCCACATCCCCCGGTGCAAACAACTCCACTGCCGCCAGTAATGGTAGCAGCGCAAGCTCTCAAGGCCAACAGATCCCTGGCAGTATCAGTGGTCACCCTGGTTCGATCGGATTTCAGAGCCGGAGCCCCGTGAAGGAAGCAAGCTACCTACAACGTGGAACTAGCGTGGATGATTCGGAGGGCGCCGACGATTCAGCCAAGGAAGGGAACGAGCCCAGCGTGAGCCCTCCTCCTGCTCGTGATGGTGTTCCCATCCGCCGATAGCCAACAGAATCCACCAACTTGCGTTCTGTGTCTATTTTTCCAGCGGAATCAATCGTGGTATTAAAAGGAGCCGGGCGCTGTGGATTGTTCCCCCTTTGGTATGATTTCGAGAGCTTTTCAAGCTTGTGATGGAATACTGCACAGCAGGTCGAACCAAGATCAGATTGCCAAAGCCAGCTGCGCTTCAGAGTCGAAGAAGATAGAGAAAGGATCAGTGTCCGGTCGCCCTGGATCATTTCTTCGCCTCTCCAGATCCCTTCCTCCGGATGTAGGGGCCAAAACCTTGATTCTGAAACGTCGCGGCGTCATAAAAAAAATGAAAGGATCGAGCCCCGATTGACCGGCTGGCTCCTGGGTGACCTTACATCGATCATTTTTGGCATTGCAAACATAGCCGTGATTATGAGTCCTCTTTCTTCAATCCGTATTGATTTCCTTTATCAGACAATCTGCCTGGCGTCCTGTCTATCAACGAACAGCCTGTATTGTTTGTCTGAGTATATCACCTTGATCACCTCTTTTCTGGCCTCTTCATTGATGAAGTATCACTTTACCACCATATGTTACCTTCGCTGATGTGTGATGTTGTCAATTAGTATGCCGTACTTGGTACAATCTGTGCATGTCTAATTTCTGCAAGTAGTATCAATATGAATTTTACCTGACTCAGAAAGAGTTAACCACTGGCATCTCTCATCTAAACTGTCTTACGATCACCTCACGATCTCACAGAAGCTTGACTTGCGTTTTCACTTTCACTTATCTTGTATGATTGTCTAGGAGAAGTAGCAGTCAAGAGTCTAAGTAAGCTTACTCATCGGGTTCGTACACTTCACGTGGCTGGTGCCCGTTCTTGTTCTACCAGGGAGTTTTACCATATGTGCCGGGTGCGAGTAGGACATGACTGCTCAGAGCAAATCAAGACTATTGTATACTGGCCTAGTACAAGTCGGATTCCAAAAAAAAAAAAGGAAAAAAGGGAAAGAAGCAAAGATGACAAGACCAACGGCCACCAGGGAACGAATAACACGAAACTTCGTTTTGACATGCCGCCAGACCGTGATGGGGTATAGAAATCAAGTCAAACTCAAAGTACAAAGGAAAGCCACGTCTCATCCTGGAGAGCAGTACATGTCTCTACCGGGAAATTCTAGAGGAAAGCCAGAGAAAAGGAAAAGGGGCCACAGTAGATGAATGAACAGGGGGTATAGAGCATGGCGACCAACAGGGTAAACCGTAAGGTAGCAAAACGGAGGGATGCTGGCAGCTTTTCGGCGCTCTTCAGCATTTGAAGACTATAGGCAGCATAAGGCGAGACGGGCCCAGAATCTGGTAATAAGATAAGTCTGTATCTCGAGGATGGTCGCCGAGCCTCCACTATGGACTTGCGTATCCTCCCCAGAAACTCAGGCATGAGAACGCATGTATCCCCGCTGCACGAC